CCTTTAATGTGCGACGATAACCCTTCAAGACCCTTAGAGTCTGTGTCGGCCGACTTCTTTGCAGTGGCAGGGAAGTCCTTCCTCGTCATTGCCGACCGATTGTCTGGATGGCCTGTTGTCGTCCCCTGTGGTAGTGATACAACGGCTACTGCTACCATCCGGAATTTCAGACATTACTTCAGAGAAGTTGGTGTTCCCCTCCGCCTCAGGACTGATGGAGGACCCCAGTTCACCAGCCACGAGCTCCGGGATTTCATGGACCGTTGGGGAGTCCGTCATGTCGTGACCTCGCCCCACTAGCCCCAGGCGAATGGACACGCTGAAGCCGCAGTGAAGACTGTTAAACACCTGATCCTTAAGGTGTCACCCTCAGGAAATATCGACTGCGAGGACTTCGATCGAGGTTTGTTAGAGTTACGCAACACCCCGAACTTCACCGGACGCTCCCCAGCCCAGGTTCTATATGGACATCATCTCAGGTCTTGTGTTCCTGCCCACCCGAAGTCTTTTTCTCAAGAATGGCAAGCCAAGACTAAAGAATGTGACCGCCGTGCAGCAGAACAAGCCGCAGATGTCTCTGCTCGGTACGACTGTCATGCCCGCCCCCTTCCCAGGTTGAGTATCGGCCAGCAGGTCAGGGGTGCGGCTCATTTGACTGTATGTCAGCACTTGTGTCAGCGCTCATAAGCTGGCGCTCATTGCTAGTCTCACTCACAAACTTACATCGAATGGATTTTGATTATCCGGCCTATTTACATAGCCGCCGTCCTTTCTCTTCACGCTCATAAATAGTGGAAGTTACGGTGGATCTACACTCAGGAATTATACAAACAATACTTTTTAATAAAAGGAGAAACTTCAATTGGGTTTCGTTACTAAAGCCCAATATAATATAAATGTATCAACCTGGTTAACTTGGAGTTAACCAGCCGGTTGACATCACCTGACTCCTTCACCACCTGACTCCATCATCACCTGACTCTTTCATCACCTGACTCCTTCATCACCTGCTTCTTTCATCACCTGAGTCCTTCGCCCCTTGGCTCTTATATCACCTGAATCTTTCATCACCTGACTCTTTCACCACCTGAATCTTTCATCACCTGACTGTTTCATCACCTAATCCTTAACTCACCGGACTCTTTCATCACTTGACTCCTCCAACATCTGACTCCTTCATCACCTTCTTCTTTAATCACCTGACTCTTTCAACACCTGACTCTTATATCACTGGACTTTATCATCGCCTGACTCCTTTGCTACCTGACTCTTTCATTATCTGCCTCTTTCATCACCTGACTCCTTCACCACCTGACTCCTTCATCACCTGACTCTTTCAACACCTGAGTCTTTCACTACCTGACTCGATCATCACCTGACTCCTTCAACACTTGACTCCTTCACCAACTGATTCCTTCATCACCTGACTCTTTCATCACCTGACTCCTCCAACAACTGACTCCTTCACCACCTGATTCCTTCATCACCTGACTCTTTCATCACCTGACTCCTCCTACATCTGACTCCTTCACCACCTGATTCCTGCATCACCTGATTTCTTCATCATCTGACTCTTTCATTACTGACTCTTTCATCACTTGACTCATTCACCCCCCTGACTCTTTCATCACCTGACTCCTCCAATATCTGACTCCTTCACCAACTGATTCCTTCATCACCTGACTCTTTCATCACCTGACTCCTCCAACATCTGATTCCTTCATCACCTGATTCCTTCAACACCTGACTCTTTCATCACTGACTCTTTCATCATTTGACTCGTTCATCATCTGATTAAAATTCATCACTTGACTCTTTCATCACCTGCCTCTTTCATCACCTGACTCCTTCACCCCCTGGCTCTTATATCACCTAACTCTTTCATCACCTGACTCCTCCAACATCTGACTCCTTCAACACCTGACTCTTTCAACAACTGACTCTTTTACCACCTGACTCTATCATCACCTGACTCATTCGCTACCTGACTCTTATAACATCACCTGAATTTTTGACCACCTAACTCTTTCATCACCTGCCTTTTTCATCACCTGACTCCTTCACTACCTGACTCTTTCATCACCTGACTCGTTCGCTACCTGACTCCTTCGCCATATGACTCTTTCATCACTTGACTCTTCCGTCACCTGACTCTTATATCACCTGACTCCTTCAACACGAGACTCATTCACTACCTCTTATATCACCTGACTCTATATTACCTGACTCTTATATCACCTGACTCTTTCATCACCTGACTCCTTCATCACCTGACTCCTTCTACACCTGACTCCTTCACCACCTGACTCTTTCACCACTTGACTCCTTCAACACCTGACTCCATCAGCACCTGACTCCTTCATCACCTGATTCTTTCATCACCTGGCCCTTTTATCACCTGACTCCTTCTCCACCTGACCCCTTCACCATCTGACTCTTTCACCACTTGACTCCTTCAACACCTGACTTCTTCACCACCTGACTCTTTCGTCACCTGACTCCTTCACCACCTCACTCTTTAATCACCTACCTCTTTCATCAACCGGACTCTTTCATTACCTTACTCTTTCACCACCTGACTCCTTCACCACTTGACTCTTTCATCAACCGGACTCTTCCATTACCTTACTCTTATATCACCTGACTCTTTTAATCACCTGACTCCTTCATCACCTGCCTTTTTCATCACCTGACTCTTTCATCACCTGACTCTTACACTACCTGACTCCTTCACCACCTGACTCCTTCAACACCTGACTCTTTCACCTTCCGACTCCTTCACCGCCTGACTCCTTCACCAGCTGACTCATTCACCACTTGACTCTTCTACCACCTGACTCCTTCAACACCTGACTCTTTCTTCATCTGCCTCTTTCATCACCTGACTCTTTTTTTCATCTGCCTCTTTCATCACCTGACTCTTTCACCATATGACTCTTTCACCACATGAATCCTTCACCTCCTGACTCCTTCACCTCCTGACTCCTTCAACACCTGACTCTTTCACCACCTGACTCCTCCACCACCTGATTCCTTCACCATGTGGATCTTACATCACCTGCTTCTTTCAGCACCTGACTTCTTAACCATTTAACTCCTTCACCATAAATCACCCCTTGCCTATACCATCTGGCTGGCTAAATAACCACCTGACTTATATCTCCAGGGTGCTAAGTATTGTATTGTCCCAACTCCACCTGGTTAACTCCGCCGTTGCCTATAATCTGAGCTTTGTCAACAGCTGTTCGGGTGTAACATAAAGCAACTTTTATCTGTCCCTTTACTAGCTTACTCCTTCATCTACTACAACTTCACCAGTACACCCTGTCATCAGCTGCCCCTTCATCAGTACACCCCGTCACCAGCTACCCCTTCACCAATACACCCCCTCACCAGGTCCCCTTCATCAGTACACCCCATCACCAGCTCCCCTTCACCAGTACACTCCGTCACCAACTGCCTCTTCACCAGTAGGCCTACACCCCGTCACCAACTGCCTCTTCACCAGTAGGCCTACACCCCGTCACCCGCTGCCCCTTCACCAGTACACCCCGTCACCAATTCCCTTTTCAGCAGTTCAACCCATTACCCGCTGCCCCTTCATCAGTATACCCCCTCACCAGCTGCCCCTTCACCAGTACACCCCCTCACCAGCTACCCCTTCATCAGTAAGTGTAAGACAAAAAAATCTAGGCCAAATAATAATAAGTATTTTTTTAATTCATTATATTTAATATTTTTATTACTTTTTGTCCTAGAGGGCTTTTGCCCGAACCCCTTCACCAACTGCCCCTTCAGTAATTAACCCCGTCACCAGCTGTTCCCATCTCCAGTTTACCCAGCTCAAAACTTTCTTCATCAAGGTTTTACTCGGTCACCAGTTCACCCTCTCACCAGCTGTCATGTGGACATTAGTGGAAGGTGCTGGAGCTGGTGAGAGCGGCACCGAGTCGTGCCACCAGCTGGGGTGTGGAGATGCTGTCCTCGTGAGCAGGTGCGAGCGTAAACGGGTGTCTGCAATAGTGGACCAGATGACCCCGGCGCCAGCTGGCACGCTGAGGGCCGGCAAGTAATGACCACCTGCACCACCTGACACGCGTCTACCCAACGCCGGGAAAACAAGCTAATTTAAAAATCAAGGCCAAGACAGTCAGTGTGTGTGTGTTTGTATATGTGTGTGTGTGTGTCTAGCGCCTCAACACACATTTGCACTCCCTTATGTCCTCGCTCTTTCTTCTGTTCACTTCCTCACTTCTACAGCAAACTTTTTCTTCGTTAATCTCAAAATATTTGTTGACATCAGTGACTGGGTACTGTGTAATAACTTGATCAACACAGCAATTCTCCCACTACCATGAGAGAGTGAATCTTGGCTGCATGTCACTGACATAACACTACCATGAAGTTGATGAATGTATCATTTCCAAGAACTGTCATCCAAATGAAAATTAATTAAACGGTCCACGTGTTGACTACTCAAGTGGCGCACGTGCCGGATCTCCGGCCGTGAGCAACACCTGCATTTAAAATCATTCATGGAACATTTGACATCTTCAAGTGCAAGTTAGCATTGTGGGTGAGCCCAAGACCACGTGCAGGCCAGGTGGTGCCCCTTTCCCATCAGGCTTGTTACGCTCGCCACCAGTGGTCCGCTTTGCCTCCTCCCACCGTGACGTTCGTGGGAAAACGACCTCCGATTGGTTGGATCCCGAAACCTTATACAAACGTTTGAGAGTCGAGAGAATTTTCATTATCATTCGTTTCTTTTTCATATTTAGTTAAGAATGCAGTAGTTAGGTTTTAGAATTTTTTCAATTGGACACATGACATAATAAAATACTTTCTCTTTGTCCTATCGGAACCTTAAGCGCCAGCTAATCAGTGTCTTTTACGTGAAGGACCTTTGAGCGATGATTAAGGCCAGCGCGTAACTCCGCCTTGACATCTGCGTACTGAACTGTTGTCATGTGGTGTTGGTGTAATAACTGAACGAACACCACTGTGAGTTGTACGTGAGTCTCCGACAGCTGAGGCCGCCGCCACGTGGTCGTGATCCTCTTTAAGTTTACACAGACGGCGAGAGAGAGTCAGTAGTGATCAGGAGGCAGGGAAGGAAACGTGTAGCCGCTCCTCAGGAACCCACTTACTGATCCTACTTTGTGGTGTTGACAGTGATACTCACTAATTGTGGCACTTGTCAAGTTATTGCTGCACCTTATATTTTCCCTAGTGACTTAGTGATCCAGTGACTTGCAATAACATTTACCAAATACTTCACACCGCAAGCGATAATACGCGGCAAGCCGTGAAGCCTGCTTGAGCGGCTGCACATTGGAGTTTGACAATCTTCATGGCTTACCAGGATAGAATGATGGGTCCAGCCCGCGATGACCTGGGTGCCATGGGTGGTGGGGGCGGTGACAGTGGCAGGAGCGACAGGGGTCGCCGTCCTCACCGTCACCCTCCCAGCGCCGAGGTCGAGGCTGAGATGCGACTCTACCTTGACAAACTGAAGGAGATCGTTCCCCATATCCCCAAGAACAGGAAGGTAACGCGTCTCGAGTTGATCCAGCACGTGATCGACTACATCTGCGACCTCCAGCATGCCCTCGAGGACCACCCTGGCCTCAAGGACGAGCCCACCGCCAGGTTTCTCACCCCACCCACGTCTCCACACCACCAACTGCAGCATACACCACCCCACGCCTTCCACAACTCCATGCCTTCACACCACCTGTCACCTCTCTCATCCCTTACCTCCACCAGACAACCCCTGGGCGTCATCTCCACCACCAACACACTCCAGACCTCCACGGTAAGTTTCTATGTAATAAGTCTCTCTCTCTCTCTCTCTCTCTCTGCGACACTGTAAACACACCAGAGCAGGGAGGAGCAGGCTTCAGTCTCGGATCAGTTGTCATGATCCTCAACCATCGACTGTAGCACGCACCGTCCTCACACCTTCACCACCCACACGTCCAGCCCTCACTCTTCACCACCCACACGTCCAGCCCTCACTCTTCACCACCCACACGTCCAGCCCTCACTCTTCACCACCAGCACGTCCAGCCTTCACTCTTCACCACCCGCACGTCTAGCCTTCACTCTTCACCCACACGTCCAGCCCTCACCAGCCACGCGTTCAGCCCTCACCACACACGTTCAGCCTTCACCACACACGTTCATCCCTCACCAGCCACACGTTCATCCCTCACCACACACGTTCAGCCCTCAGCACACACATTCAACCCTCACCACACGTTCAGCCCTCACCCCCTCACCACCCAAATGCACTTTTAAGTTACATAATATTTATTGGTCCATGCAACATAACAAGTTTCTATACCCATAATAGTTGATGATTTGCACTATACAAAATTCCTGATTCTTACGACTTTCTTTATGTAACTTGGTTTTAAATTAAGGTGATAATAATGATGTACTGTACTGTATTTTTTTTTATGAATTATAAACTTTTGACTGAATGGTGATGAACGTTCAAAATATTGCACCAGTTGGGGTGATTCTGGGCCTCACCTGCACCAGCTGGGGTGATTCAGGGCTTCACCTGCACCATCTGGGGTGATACAGGGCCTCACCCGTGCCAGCTGTAGTGATACAGCGTCTCACCTGCACCAGCTGGCGAACAGGTGCGAATAAGCTACCTGGAGACCTTCGTTCTGATGCGCCACGTTATCGCCTGACATTTTGTGTGTGTGTGCGTGCCCGCCCTCCCCCCCACACACACACTTCTACCTAATGAAGGGGAGTGGAGAGCAACGCGGGGGGGGGGGTCAGAGCTACCTTCAACAGTTGTCGTCGTGTCACAACATTCCTCGCGTGTTTGCTCAATACTGCCTCTGCTTCAAGCTGCGCCTGGCTGCTCACTGCGCCACAGCTGGGCGCTAGTGGTCCCCAAGGACGCTGACTCGTAGACATCTGCGCTTTCAACTGTTCACGAATCACAACTAACGCAAACTAAGCCTTGACTAAGAGAAGTCATTCTTTTACCTTTTTTGTAGATTTGCGGTTGATGCGGTTGGTTTACGACGTCCGTTAATATGACAGTGAGGGACGCACTCTATAGATGTTCAGCTTTTAAAGAAACATGGTTAATCTGGCCGGCCCCGAGGACAGTCATGTTTCTACTGTGACTTAACGAGATTAGAATGTAAATCCCGGGGGTTGTTAGCACGAGTTGACGCCATAGTCTTGTCTGCAACTTCTGTGTTTTACTGTACTTGTACACCGAGGACGCATGTACACTCAACCTCACATCACATGTACACCTACGATCCATGCACGGCTAGGATACATTTACACCATTTAATAGACTTTTGTTCACTAAATAATAGATAGCTATCAAATGACACATGTGCACCAAATTTCAAATGCACATCAAAGGACGCATGAACTCAGAACACATTCACAAAGGCGGGTTATATAAAGTGCATGAACAGGAACACTACCATTTATGTACACACATACGGTACAGAATCTCACGTGCACGCACGCATATGTATACACGCCCAACATCGGCTCTGACGAACCGATGATCAGTATCACAGTGGTCTGAGCCACGCATGGCACGGGTGATGAGGACATCACACACACACACACACACACACACACACACACACACACACACACACACACACACACACACACACACACACATATTAGCCTTGACCTGGGGTGACACAGTGAGCGTGACCTGATTTACCAGGTGGCCAGAAGAGTAACGTCACCCGTGCTTACCTCTGGCACCGCTGACTACCGCAATACTAACGCGTCAACCAGCCATCTCCTGACACTTGACACCGCTTTTTATAGCCAGTTCAACGGGGGTGGCCTGCGAGATCGGTGTCACCCACATGTGTTCACAAGCTAACACATGTACACAATTTGACACATACCTACTGTCTAACATACCATTTAGTTGACACACCTACCAGCAGGCACATACCTTCTAGCTGACACATTGACACATATCTACTAGCTAACACATACCATTTAGCTTAGACATCGACTAGCAGGCACATTCCTACTAGCTGAAACATGCCTACTAGCTAACACATTCCTACTAGCTGAAACATGCCTACTAGCTAACACATTCCTACTAGCTGAAACATGCCTACTATCTAACACATGCCGTTGAGCTGACGCACCTACTAGCAAGAACATCCTACTAGTAGAAACATGCCGATAACGAAGACAAAGACCCCAAATATAGCCCCAAAATTCAAACTCGCCCATCACCTGCCCTGCCGTCAGCTGGTGAGCACCGTCACCCAGTCCACCCGTCACCCGCGGCGCGTGTACAGCATCTGTCACTTCCGTCTTCTTCGCCTGGCCCCCCCATTTTCTCAACACATGCCTGCCCACATACTACACCCGCCCACCGTATGACTGCCGTATAACCACTATCTTCCCTTCTGTCTGTCTGTCTGTCTACCGCCTGGCTGTCTCTGGAATGTCTTTAAATTTTGTTGCAATTCCGTCTTTGCCATCATCTTCAACCTCTATCACCTCAATATTATCCTCTCCACTACACCTTTGCCCAATACTCTCGTACCTCCACCACACCCCCGCATCTCCCCCACACCCCCCATCCTTCCGCCTTTCTCCCTAAAACAACATCAGGAAACCCCCACCATCACCATCCCCCATTCCGGCACACAAACACCCGCCCACAGCCTATTCTTGGTCACTAGATCTTCTTTCCGAGAGAGAGAAAGAGGAGGGGGTAGAAGCATGACACCCCAAGGGAGAAGCAGAGAGATAACACCCTGAGGAGAGCCCTGGGGACTAACTCCTGGGTGGGAGGACCAACGTCTGGGTAAGAGGGCCAACGTTTGGGTGGGGGAACTAACGCCTTGGTGGAACGACTGATGCCTGGGTGGGAGGACTAACGTCTGGGTGGGGGAACAAACTCCTTGGTGGGACGACTAATGACTGGATGGGAAGACCAACGCCTGGGTGGGAGGACCATCGCCTGGGTGGGAGGACCAACGTCTGGGTGGGGAACTAACGCCTTGGTGGAACGACTGATGCCTGGGTGGGAGGACCAACGCCTGGGTGGGAGGACCATCGCCAGGATGGGAGGACCAACGCCTGGGTGGGAGGAATAACGTCTGGGTGAGAGGACCAACGTCTGGGTGGGGGAACTAACTCCTTGGTGGGACGACTAATGACTGGATGGGAGGTCCATCGCCTGGGTGGGAGGACCAACGTCTGGGTGGGGGAACTAAAGCCTTGGTGGAACGACTGATGCCTGGGTGGGAGGACCAACGCCTGGGTGGGAGGACCATCGCCAGGATGGGAGGACCAACGCCTGGGTGGGAGGACCATCGCCAGGATGGGAGGACCAACGCCTGGGTGGGAGGACCAACGCCTGGGTGGGAGGACCAACGCCTGGGTGGGAGGAACAACTCCTGGGTGGAAGGACCATCGCTTGGGTGGAAGGACCAACGATTGGGTGTGAGGACCAACGCCTGGGTAAGCTAGAACCTCATGTGAGACCCAGTATCGCTAAATAATATAACAACTCCTTGGTTTTGGTGGGCTGGGGCGCATACCTAGCGTAGTAATTAAATGTGGTTTATGTGGTTCATTCACGAGTAATATCTGGCGTATACCTGGCTTATACATAGGATGGAGATAGTTATGATATACACGCAGTCAGACCTGATTTATTTTTACACAAGAACATTCCTATAACGAAACACTTTTTGTAACTTGACAACTTGGTGTTATTTTGAGTCATTGTGGTAAGAGATCACGGAGACTTCAGCCAACAAAACTGCCTTTTCCTCTAGTCTGTCACAAATCTTACATGTAACATTTCTAACAAAAAAAATGGATAATGAGTTGCGATGCTCTGCCTCACAAATACGAGCTAGGCGCTACATTTTAAACACAACAGAACCGCCATGACCTTTGCACCAGTAATATTGTATCAGACAGTATCACAGAACTATAGTTTTCATTAAAATAGTTCGAGCCGACTTGCCTTTGGAACTAGAATAAGAAATAGTTCATATCAGATGATTAACCAAATACAAGAGTCATTTCACTCGTGGTCAGTGAGTATAGTGGGGGATAAGTGTGGTGGATGGTGAGTATAGTGGGGGATAAGTGTGGTGGAGGGTGAGTATAGAGGGGGATAAGTGTGGTGGAGAGTGAGTATAGAGGGGGATAAGTGTGGTGGAGGGTGAGTATAGAGGGGGATAAGTGTGGTGGAGAGTGAGTATAGAGGGGGATAAGTGTGGTGGAGGGTGAGTATAGAGGGGATAAGTGTGGTGGAGGTGAGTATAGGGGGATAGGGTGTGGTGGAGGGTGAGTATAGTGGGGATAAGTGTGGTGGAGGGTGAGTATAGTGGGGATAAGTGTGGTGGAGGGTGAGTATAGTGTGGGATGACTGGTGAAGGTGAGTGTAGTGGAAGAGAACTGTGGTGGGGGATGAGTGTAGTGGGGATGACTGTGGTGGGGGATGACTGTGGTGGGGATGAGTGTAGTGGGATATACTGTGGAGTGGGGATGACTGTGGTGGAGGGTGAGTGTAGTGGGGATGACTGTGGTGGGGTGAGTGTAGTGGAAGAGAACTGTGGTGGAGGGTGAGTGTAGTGGGGATGACTGTGGTGGGGGTGAGTGTAGTGGAAGAGAACTGTGGTGGAGGGTGAGTGGGGGATGACTGAAGGGAGAACTGTGTGGAAGGTGAGTGTAGTGGGGGATGACTGTGGTGGGGTTGAGTGTAGTGGAAGAGAACTGTGGTGGAGGGTGAGTGTAGTGGGGATGACTGTGGTGGGGGTGAGA